AAATACTTTCTGTGGTACTTTTGTGTGGGTGCTTGTGACTGAATAAAAAGGGTTTTATGCTGATGAATCAGCCAACTATCATTCAGTCATCTGCAAATAATGCCTTGGCTATCATATATAAGCTGGTAAGAACTTCTTTTCAAGAAACTCAACTAGTAGGAGAGAGCAAAGCTGTCAGCAGTCCATTCAGATTCTTCAGTTCATGTCTAAGCTCAAGATTCCCTGCTCTGGAGCTATGTCAGAAGGGAGAAATCCATGTGTGTCTGTTCACTGGCAAACTGGCACATGAAAGAGGAGCAGGCCCTCCCCCCTCCATAGTCCTTGCATCTCTGAACTGCTCTGGAAGGTCAGCACATTCTCCAGGACAAATTGTGGAGGTGTGCAGGATGGGGTGGGAGAGGACAAGGAATCGTACTGTGTTGAATATCACCTAGAGGGTTAAAAAGGGACAGGGAAAAAAAGAGGCAGTGGTGGGTCCCAGTGCAGATGCTCTGATGGTGTGCACATAGAAAGAATGGCAGCATCTCATTCTGAGGGCATTCTTTGATAGGCTGCACCACTCCAGGGCACCTCAACCCTTTCAGGGCAGTACTAGGAGTTGTTGTGTGAAAGTTTATCAATGCTCCAACCTCTTCCATTGTATTTATGGAAATTTTGCTAGTATTAAATAAAACTGAAGCTATTTGAGCAAAAAAGAAAAGGGAGATAGTGTTACATATTTGTCAGTGTAAGCTCAAAATAAAGAATGAATTTACTAATAATTCAGACTTTTTTGCAAGAGTAACACATTCCAGCCGTGCAAGTGACTGTTTAGATACAGTGCTAATACTGTTAACAGTATTAATAGTATCCATACAAATACGTGTTATTTGGCACTGACATTGTTCATCAGTAGGCACTGGGACATGGCATAGTAACCTCCTGCTATTCACAGTTAACACACAACATATTCTATGATCATTTCTGGGTATGTGGCATATTTTTAGTGAGTAAGTACTGCAGAGGAATATTTCCCTTTAACTGATTAATTGACTGCAGGACAGCTGCCAACACGTCACTATTAATCCATTCATGATTTTAATTGAACTGTTTCAGCGGCTTTATACCGCCTGCAGAGCACACACTTTGCTCTTTTGACTGTAAAAATACACCCTGAGAGATGCTCTGTACTATAAGAGAGTGATAACAGTAGCTTCAAATAGAAGACTTCCCAAATTATATATAAATTGCATGGGTAGCTAACCTATGGCATAGGTTGCACTATTGACAGAGGATGCAAGAGTTTGTAGTACTCAGGAGAGGAGTCCAAAGAAGAGCGGTTCTGGTTGTGCTAAGGGCTCCAGGCTCCTGTTTGGCACTCTCATTTACTCTGTGGTTCCATAGACAAGAGATAAAGCCACAGGTGTACAAGGACTTTGCATGTACTGTGGCATGCATTACAGTAGTACTATCTCCTGGTTTTCATGTGACTTGGCAACAAATTGTTCAAGGGATTTAAAAGACATCTTTCAGTTTCTTTTTCCTTGTCCAGCCTGCAAACTGGCACCAACCACTTCTGGGAAAGCACAATAGTGGTATATGCCAGCATATAAGCAAGAGGGGAGATTACAGTCATGTAGGCCAAGCTGTGGCTCTGCCAGTTTGGGGGCATAGAAACAGAGTGAGTCAGAAGGGGCCTCCTGCCTGGCCATCTAGTCTGACCCCTGGCTCCAGCCAGCTTCGCTCATGACATGCCAACCATGTACATGTCCAGCCTATCTTTGAACACCCTCACTGATGGGGCCTCAATCATCTCCCATGAAAGCCCATTCCATACCCTCGGGGTCCTGACTGTCAGGAAGTACTTCCTGGCATCTAAATTGAACCTTGGCTCCCTGAGCTTTGCTCCGTTGGAGTGCGTCCTGCCTTCCTCTGCAGGACAGAACAGGTCCCTACCCACCTCCATGTGACACCCCCTTACATACCTGTATGTCACCAACAGATCCCCTCTGAGTCTCCTCTTCTCCAGGCTGAAACGGCTCAGTTCCCTCAGTCTCACCTCATACAGCTTTCCTTGCAAACCAGCCACTAACCTTGTGGCCCTACGATGCACTGACTCTAACCTGGCTATATCCTTCCTGTAACGAGGGGCCCAAAAGTGAACACAGTACTCCAGTTGTGGGCGCACCAGAATTGTATTACTACCTCTCTTGATCTAGAAGCCACACTTCTGGCTATGCAGCCAAGGGTGGCATTTGTCCTCTTAACCACCACATCACACTGCTGACTCATGTTTAGCCTGCAGTCAACCAGCACCCCGAGGTCCCATTCACAAGTGCTGCTCTCCAGCCACTTGTCACCTAACCTGTACTTATGACACCCATTCCTATGCACTTATCCTTGCACTTATCCACATTGAAGGTCATCCTGTTGTCGCCTGCTCACTTCCATAGTCTGTCCAGATCCTTTTGGATCTGGAGTACCTGCTCCTCAGTTGTGCCCACTGCTCCAATTTCAGTGTCATCTGCAAATTTGATCAGCAGATTGTTCATCCCTTCTTCCATGTCATTAATGAAAAGATTAAACAGGATTGGCCCCAGGACAGAGCCCTTGGGGACCCCGCTTGTCACTGGCCGCTATCCCGATGATTCCCCACTAATGGTTACTCTCTGCTTTCGGTCAGTCAACCATGCCCTAATCCATCGGACAGTGCTTTGGTGTATCCCAAAACTCCTCAGTTTCTCCACCAGGATATCATGGGGCACTTTGTCAAAGGCCTTGCTGAAATCCAGGTATACCACATCCACTGCATCCCCTCCATCTAGCCATCTCGAAACCTTGTCATAGAATTCCACAAGGTTTGTCTGGCAGGACCTGTTTTTGCGGAAACCGTGTTTTGTGAAACAAACAAAGTGCAAACTCTTGAGCAAGGGGAGGGAGGGTTTAAGAAAGCAGACATGCATCTAATTGCATAACCCAATGTAAGTAACAGACAGTATCCATATCAGCTGTGCATAGCTGTGCAAGCTCAATTTTTATCACAGTTCCTGAAACCAAAGATACACACTCTTCTCAATTTCTTTAGAAACTGTGGGCAGAAACGTGGAAAATGCCAGAGAAAGCAATTGTTTCACAAATTCTGATAAAGAGAATGCTACTGAACAGAGGTTAGGACAAAACCTTTTTGAAGAACTGGGTTATAGAATTGTATTGCGTGGCACTAATTGAGTTAACTGTAAAGGTAGCGTCCAAAGAAAGTTAATCATGCTAATTTCCATTTGAAATCAATATGAAAAGTCAGTCATGACTAAATTAGGCTATACTGATTTTAAAGGGGCCTAACTACAATGAACTTGCTCCAGATTGCAATCAGTGATTTTCAGAAGTTCAATGAATTAAGCAATAAGCCCCTGTGCAGTATTGAGTAAGAGGCCCAGAATTCAGCTAATGAGACTGCAACTATTTTTTTTTAAGTGCAAGAAAAAACAAGTTTCTAACCCTTTGGCAGTGTGAGAGTATAGGTAATTTCTGTGAAGTATGAGTAGGCAATAAGGAGTGAAAAGGATTGGCATCTGAATAGGATTTCTAGGGATCATGGGATTTGGCCTCAGCCCATAGCTACATAGTTAGGGCTGTAGTACTTTGCATACTTGGGTTCTGAATAAACCATGAATAGGAATGTACCACAGATTATAAAATATTAAGCAAAGATTCAAGTTTGTATACTTTTCATAATGTATACAGGTATTGATCTTGACACAAACTCATGATACATTTTTTTTTAAATCCTGAGTAGCACCTCCACATAAAGCAATAATTTGAAGTTCTTTGTCGTGGCCTCTGTGCATCACACATAGGGGTGCTGCACCTGCACAGTGCCTATGGCCGGAAAGATTGAAAAGCTTAACGGTTTTGGCGGGAACTCCCCCCTCCCCCCCATGGTATAAAAGGGTGGAGTGCCAGCCATTTCCTCAGTCTTCTTACAACCGCCGTTTGCTGTGCCTTGAGCCTTTCATCTTTCAGTTTGTACACTTTTATCTAGTACGATTATCTCTTAGTGTTATAATTCCAAGTTTATTCCCTCCCTGTTAGAAGTTTTCTTCTCAATTTTCCCCTTTTCCGTTTCAAAAATAAAATAAAATAAAATAAAAAATTATTACCTCTCTGTTCTATCTACTTTACTATCCTCTCATTCTTCTTCAATGGCGCAGCGTGTGGCTTTTCGCAAGTGCTCTCAGTGTGGGTCCAAAATGTCACCTACTGACCCACACGACCTTTGCCTTCTCTGCCTTGGAAAAGGACACAGAACTGATAAATGTGGCTATTGCCAGTCCTTTACTAAGCAGGCGAGAAAAAATCGAGAGAATCGCCTGCACAAACTCTTGTGGGACCAAGCCCTGTTCCAATCTGACCAACTGGCAGGCAAATCTGTTCCTCCGTTCTCCACTTCCACCACACCTCCACCCCACCCGTCGGCTGATGATGCTCCTGTGCCAGAGGGTCAACGCTTCTCTTCATCTCAGCGCAAACAAAAGGAGAAGAGGAAGCATAGCGGGTCCGACAAGTCCTCAGGCCATAAAAAGCCTAAGAAGGACAAGACGGAGAAGTTGGGCTCGTAAGCCCAAAAAACCGATCATCCCAGGCACTGTGATTCGGGTTCGTCTGTCCCGTTGATTCTGACGGCTGTATCGGTACTGACGCTGACCGGCCCGGCCCTCCAGTTGGCCATGCAAGTGATCCCACCTGGGTCTCCAAGACAGATCGCACCTTCGGTCCAGTCTTCCCCTGAGCAACGGGACGTTCCCTTGCCAGGTTCAATCTCCAAGGGAGAGATTCGTGACTCTCCTCCATTGGCTCATTCACCTACTCCACAACCATCACGCAAGCCTTCCTCCAGGGCTGCTCCTCAGCAGGTGCGATATCAGCAACGCTCCACCGGTCATCCCTCGGAAGAATGGGTACAGCCGCCCCATAGGCTGTCTCATTGTGAGCCATGGGATGATTACCCGCCCTATGGTTACTACCTGTTGGTGCACAATCGTACCCTCTCTCTGGTACCGAGAGATGCTCCTCCGACCTTGAGAGCGGCTCAGTCCAGGTGTCCCACTTCGCCTATTGACTCCTCTTCTAGTCTGCCTCACTATAATTTGGACTTGGAGGACTCCGAAGTGGCTTCGACATCATCAAGCGCAGTGATTTCTACACAGGGCCCCATCTCACCGGAGGAACCCTATGTAACCTTTGGGGAACTGATGGCAAGACTTACGAGGTCACTTGAGATCAAGGCTCAGTACCGCTTTGATCCCAATATCGACAAGTTTTACAATATTGTCAAATGTGAACAGTCTGCCGCCATCATTTTGCCACTAATCACCACCCCTCGCCAGGCAATAATGGAACCATGGAACTATCCTAATCAGCTTTAACCCACTTTGTGGAGATATGAGGCCATGTATCGAGTCCGTGAGCAGGATATTCCATTCCTCCTGCGTCATCCAAAACCGAACTCGATAGTTGTTGAGTCATCCCAAGGACGTGAATCGAAGGGACACACTACCCCCCGCGATAAGGAGGGCCTCAAGACTGACATGTTGGCTTGCCGGATCTATGCCACTACAAGACTTGGCCTCCATATTTCTAATTATGAAGCCATGCTGGCTCAGTACCAATATTTTCTTATGCAGAAGCTAGAAAATATTGGGGCGTCACTTCCAGACCAGCAGAAAGACCTGGCCCGAATCTTCATTAAAGAGGCCATGCAGGTGGCAGTCCAACAGCTTTCCTCGGCGAGACACCATTTTGATTCTGACTCTAAAGCTCTTGTCGGCTCCATATCCCTCCATCGTCATGCTGAATTGGATCTATCTCCAAAGGCTCAACAAACTGATCCCATCCCACCATATTTGTCTGCTTTCCAGGTTCCTGAAGACTTGCCAATAATATCAAGAGCAACAAAAAGGGCTTCTTTCAGCATGTAAATAGGAAGAGGAATGGGAGACAAGTGGTGGGACCACTAAATAAGGAGGAAGGAGATCCAGTGACTGATATGAGGGAACAGGCACAGATGCTAAATAACTATTTTGCCTCTGTGTTCTCCCCAAAGCAGGACGAGGAATATCTGCATAGGAGATTAGATGAGGCTGGGGACTTAGGGGCACAGATTAGAGTCACCCCCCCTTGAAGTCGAGGGGCTCTTCAGGCCATTGGACATTACAAAGGCGCCAGGCCCTGACAGGTTACACACAAGAGTACTTCAAGAAGTGGCAGGGGTTCTCTCATGCCCACTGCCCCCCATTTTTGAGGCCTCATGGGGAACGGGTGAAGTTCCAGAGGACTGGGGGGTGGCATCAGTGGTCCCAATTTTCAAAAAGGGTAGTAGAAGGGACATGGGGAATTATAGACCTGTTAGCCTTACGTCCATTGTAGGAAAAACAATGGAAAGGCTCATAATAGAGAGAGATCTAGTGATGCTAGATAGGGAAGGGAGGCTGGCAGCCTCACAACATGGCTTCCACAAAAACAGGTCCTGCCAGACAAACCTTGTGGAATTCTATGACAAGGTTTCGAGATGGCTAGATGGAGGGGATGTAGTGGATGTGGTATACCTGGATTTCAGCAAGGCCTTTGACAAAGTGTCCCATGATATCCTGGTGGAGAAAGAGTTTTGGGATTCACCAAAGCGCTGTCCGGTGGATTAGTGCATGGTTGACTGACCGAAAGCAGAGAGTAACCATTAGTGGGGAATCATTGGGATAGCGGCCAGTGACAAGCGGGGTCCCCCAGGGCTCTGTCCTGGGGCCGATCCTGTTTAATCTTTTCATTAATGACATGGAAGAAGGGATGAACAATCTGCTGATCAAATTTGCAGATGACACTGAAATTGGAGCAGTGGGCACAACTGAGGATCAGGTACTCCAGATCCAAAAGGATCTGGACAGACTATGGAAGTGGGCAGGAGACAACAGGATGGCGTTCAATGTGGATAAGTGCAAGGTCTTGCACTTGGGGCACAGGAATAGCTGTCATAAGTACAGGTTAGGTGACAAGTGGCTGGAGAGCAGCACTTGTGAAAGGGACCTCGGGGTACTGGCTGACTGCAGGCTAAACATGAGTCAGCAGTGTGATGCAGTGGACAAGAGGGCGAACGCCACCATTGGTTGCATAGCCAGAAGTGTGGCTTCTAGATCGAGAGAGGTATTACTACCACTCTATACGACTCTAGTGCGCCCAGAACTGGAGTATTGTGCTCAGTTTTGGGCCCCTCATTACAGAAAGGATATAGCCAGGTTGGAGTCAGTGCAGCGTAGGGCCACAAGGTTGGTGGCTGGTTTGCAGGGGATGGGGTATGAGGCGAGACTGAGAGAACTGGATCTCTTCAGCCTGGAGAAGAGGAGTCTCAGTGGGGATATGTTGGTGACATACAGGTATGTGAGGGGGTGTCACATGGAGAAGGGTAGAGACCTGTTCTCTCCTGCAGAGGAAGGCAGGACGTGCTCCAACGGAGCAAAGCTCAGGGAACCAAGGTTCATTTTAGATGCCAGGAAGCACTTCCTGACAGTTAGGGCCCCGAGGGTGTGGGATGGGCTTCCACGGGAGGTCGTTGAGGCCCCATCGGTGCGGGTGTTCAAGGATAGGCTGGACATGCACATGGTGGGCATGTCGTGAGCAGAGCCGGCTGGTGCCGGAGGTCAAACTAGATGGCCCGGGAGGCCCCTTCTGACTCGCTATGTTTCTATAAAAGAGATTCTTATTTCCCCATCTAACAATACAGGAAAATGGGCCTCATTGAGCCAAAAGAGTGGATACCAGCATATTAAATGGCTTCTCTGTGGACATTGTCCAAAGGGCTGTATAACCTGGATGTTCATGCAGTGCTAGAGGTAGAACTGCAAGATGACTTAGTAGCAGCCTCCTGTGCTTTGCTTTTGGTCGTTTATAAATCAGACAAAATTCATATACGTTGTTAGGCCAGAGATGGGCAACTACTGGGACACTGTAGTTTTAGAATCTCAGTCCTTGACAGTGCCTGACAGCAAATATCTACACCTGGATATATCATTAGCATGCAAAATAAATGTCAGCAAATGATCAGTGAAGCAGAAGCATGCATTCAGGAAAGGGAGTATAGCATGCATTTTTATGAACACAATCTTCTAAAACGAACCAAAAAAGCAAGGCATTTTAAAGAAACTCTGAGTTTCAGATTAGCACATGTTTTCTTCTAGCTGTTTCTTGGATCATCACATTTAAGGTAGAGCCAGCCCTTCCATTAACTGGGGCAAGGTAGCTTTCCTCGGGTGGCAGAGTTTAGAATAGCATTAAAGGGCTGCACATTGTCAGTTATTTAGTTAATTATCCTACAAAAAGCATCATGGTAGGGAGGAGTGACATCTGGTTTTTCTGTACCTGCCAGCTATGAGAGATGGGCCATCTCTTATCTGCAGGGGTGGGCAATGTGTGGCTCTCCAGATGTTATTGACATCTGCCATTTGACACCTGACGTTGTTGTTCAGTTGTGTCTGACTAGAAGCGATCCTGTCGGCCAAGTCTCACCACACTTTCCAATCCCGTGCCACCTCTTTCAGCTGAACTATGCTGTTTGGCAACCTGTTTTTTTCTTGCTGCAAGCATCCCAAGTATTGAATCTTTTTCTAATGAGCTTGATCTCATAACGTGGCCAAAATACGCGAGTCTCAGTTTTGTTATTGTTTGAAAACTGCTCCATATTTTCCTGGCGAGTTTTTCTAAGTTAGGTCACCAGGTCTTTCCTCAACCCTCCCCATTTCTCTAGGCTTGGGACTGGCACACCCACATGTGACGCCAAGTGTGCATGGCTGGGTTCATGTCATGCTCCCTTATGACTGGCTGTGCTGGGAAGGGCTGCTGTGTGCTGTAGCCCAGAATAACTGGGGGCCCCAATGTGCTCACACAAGAGAGGAGTCACCACTGCATAAGCACTAGAAAGGAAGGCCAACAGGCTTGGTAATGGAGGCAGGGCAATGCAACTCATTTTGGTGCCTCTGTTGGAGTATGCATTGTAAGTAGTCATTTCCAATTTTAAAGCGGGAAAGGATTTCCATAGCACTGCTTTCATTACTAAGAGAGTATGCTGGCACATGGCTATGTATGAAGTAATTAAATTAAATTGCATTGGATAATGTTTTAGGTTGCGTCCCTGCGGTGGTGCTCAGTTCAACAACTCAGATTGATTGCTAGATCTCAAGCTTCATTCTGCATGTTCGGCTTTATCATCCGCTATGAACTGTATTTAATGCACTTGACTTTGCTGACTTAATCTTCAGCCAGGTTTTAATTTAAGAAGCTATATTTTCTGGATTGTGAACAGCCTTTGCTATAGTGCTGGAGATTTTGTCATGTGACAGGTAACAGCTTAATTTTAAGGCAACCTTTCTACAACAACAGTATTGGATTGCTTGTCCCAGTATGTAGCCATTTGGTTTTCATGGGTTCTATTCTGTCAGACTGGCAAACAAACAAAGAACTTTCTAGTAGCAAGAGTCACATGCTCTCTAGAACAATTCTATATTTCTTTGAAATGAAACACATGGAAAAAAATGGACCATCATCTCATCCAGCCTATTTCTGGCCTTCAGGGCAAAAGTGCACACTTATGTAGCCAATAGCCATGCAGAAGAGGGTGGTGTCAGTAGCAGAACTACAGAACAAACTAAGGGAAAAAAACCTGAGGGGAAGCCAGCCCTCTCAGCAAAAAATCCCAGTGAGGACTAAGCATGTTCAGTGGACATGGAATACTTACTGACTGTCATGGTGGCAGGAAGAGTTGAACACTGGGCAGGAGGGAAAATATAAATAGAATGACTGGAAAAGGAAGGTTGTTGAAGAGCAACATAGATACAAAAAGGATGTAGAGAAGCATTCACACTGAGAGGCTATTTACATGTTCCCATAGACTGGAGTGAGAGCTGTCCCTAGAAATCAGGGAAGAAATTCAGATTTTCCAGGTTACTGCAACTTAGTAGCACTGCATCCATCCCAATTTGTATAAAGTAGTGCCAAAGAGAAGAGTTCCCTTTCTTTCTAACTCAATATTTTTGCAAGAGATATAGTAAATGAAATCATTCCCATGCAAGTTGCAAAGCAAGATGACTCATGGTCACCCTACTGCAGATTGGAAGGGACTTTGGTTGGGAGAGAGTGGCACAGGAATGGAAGAGACAGACCTGTGGTGCTGTTCATACTGCATGCCATAAGCTAGGCTCTGAGTAGCATACAGTAGCTCTACAGTGCTGTTCAGTGGTATTGGACCCCATCACAAGTTGGAAGGCTATACTGGGAGAAAGTAGAATATGGCAATCTAGTTTGCTGTTAATATTGCAGGTCAAAAGTAGGGCTGGGTTTGGTTTGGGTTCCCAGTCTGAAATCCCCAGTTCTTCCAAGGATACAGCACAGGGTGATCTACTAAAAGGACTCTTTCAGGTTTCCTTAAGGGTCAAATGCAGCAGAATCAGATGGGGATTCAGTAGAGGCAGTCTGGGTGAAACTAAGGGGTTTTGACAGGGAAAGAGGACTGACAGTGGGGGTATATTATCGCCCTCCAGGTCAACTTGAGACCCTGGATGATGTCCTGACAGGCCAGAGCCTAAGGATATCTCGGGGGAGAGACACAGTAATTATGGGAGATTTCAGTCTCCTGGATATTACTTGGGAGATTCACTTGGTGGTGACAGGCAGGTCACGTTGCTTCCTGGAAGCTATAGAGGGAGGGTTTTTCACACAGAGGGTCCAAGAGGCGACGGGGTAGGGGGTGGGGACATCCTTGACTTGGTCTTGACCAATAGAGAGGAGCTGATAGATGAAGTACAGATGAGGGGAGCTCTGGATGCGAGTGATCACTCCATCCTTTGCTTTGAGATCAGGGGACTGGCGACATGCAGCAGGTCGAGCACTAGAAGCTGGGACTTCAAGAGGGCCAACTTTGGCCAACTGAAGGCCAGACTGGGGAAAGTCTCCTGGGATAGGTTACTGGAAGGTAAGCGAGTTGAGGGGTGGATGGCACTCAAAAGGGAGGTTTTGGAGGAGCAAGCCTTGACGATACCTCTAGTTAGTAAGGTGGGGAGGCAGAGGAGAGCGCCGCCATGGATGCAAAAGGAGGTGGTTAGAGGGATTAGACGAAAGAGGAAACTCTTGAGGAAATGGGTACTGGGGCAAATAGACAAAAGGGTATATTGGGAGGAGGAGGCCCATTGCAGAAGGATTTTTCGCAAGGCTAAGGCTGATTACGAGCAGAGACTTGCCAAGAATATCAAGAGCAACAAAAAAGGCTTGTTTCAGCATGTAAATAGGAAGAGGAATGGGAGACAAGTGGTGGGACCACTAAATAAGGAGGAAGGAGATCCAGTGACTGATATGAGGGAAAAGACACAGATGCTAAATGACTATTTTGCCTCTGTGTTCTCCCCAAAGTAGGACAGGGGATATCCGCATAGGACATTAGATGAGGCCAGGGACGGAGGGGCACAGATTAGAGTCACCCCCCTTGAAGTCGAGGGGCTCCTCAGGGCATTGGACATTACAAAGGCACCAGGCCCTGACGGGTTACAGCTGAGAGTACTTAGACGGTTGGCAGGGGTTCTCTCATGCCTGCTGGCCTCCATTTTTGAAGCCTCATGGAGATCGGGTGAAGTTCCAGAGGACAGGGTGGCATCAGTGGTCCCAATTTTTAAAAAGGGTAGTGGAAGGGACATGGGGAATTATAGACCGGTTAGCCTTACATCCATTGTAGGAAAAACAATGGGAAGGCTCATAATAGAGAGAGATCTAGTGATGCTGGATAGGGAAGGGAGGCTGGCGGCCACACAACATGCCTTCCGCAAAAACAGGTCCTGCCAGACAAACCTTGTGGAATTCTACGACAATGTTTCAAGATGGCTAGATGGAGGGGATGCAGTGGATGTAGTTTACCAGGTACTCCAGATCCAAAAGAATCTGGATAGACTATGGAAGTGGGCAGGAAACAACAGGATGGCGTTCAATGTGGATAAGTGCCAGGTCTTGCACTTGGCGCATAGGAATGGATGTCATAAGTACAGGTTAGGGGACAAGTGGCCGGAGAGCTGCACTTGTGAAAGGGACCTCGGGGTGCTGGTTGACTGCAGGCTAAACATGAGTCAGCAGTGTGATGCAGTGGACAAGAGGGCGAACGCCACCATTGGTTGCATAGCCAGAAGTGTGGCTTCGTATTACTACCACTCTGTTATTACTCTGGTGCGCCCGCAACTGGAGTACTGTGTTCAGTTTTGGACCCCTCATTACAGAAAGGATATAGCCAGGTTAGAGTCAGTGCAGCATAGGGCCACAAGGTTGGTGGCTGGTGATGCCATATGAGGCGAGACTGAGAGAACTCTGTCTCTTCAGCCTGGAGAAGAGGAGTCTCAGAGGGGATACATTGGCGACATACAGGTATGTGAGGGGATGTCACATGGAGATGGGTAGAGACCTGTTCTGCCCTGCAGAGGAAGGCAGGATGCGCTCCAACGGAGCCAAGCTCAGGGAACCAAGGTTCAATGTAGATGCCAGGAAGCACTTCCTGACAGTCAGGACT